GAAAACAACAGACAAAACTTAATAGTGTTTAATTTTTGTTTTACAAAAAGCATTGCAGCAATACCCAAATCTGGTTTCCAGATCCCATTGATGAAAATAACACACTCGTCCTAGTAACTTAATGAAGGGCTTCTTATGAAATAACCACCCCTGAGGAACATAGTTACAAAACTGCAACTTTTTGAAACTGATTTTACTAAAATTAAAAAGCAACTTCGCTTTCCCCTTATTTCTAATATGTAGTTATGGATTGTAACATTGGAATTCTTACATCTTTCCACCCATTCAAAATACTTAAAACATATATTTATATCATATACGAATTGATTTCTAATTGAGGCCTCCCTTTCTGTGGTTATAGAAATCAAAAGAAAATTATTGCAGTATATTATAATAATGTATTATGAAATCTGAATCTGCCAGCAACTGTTACTTGCTTACATTTATATGACTTAACCATTTTCTCTGATCTGTCTTTTTTATCTTTATGTCTTCTGCTACATTTTAAAATAATTTTACTGCATTTAATACTTTCCTTATTTAAATTATTTTTTATAATGCATTTCTTCTAAACAAATTTTGAAAAGTTCACTAAAAACTTGCATCCTTTTTTTAAAGATTCCATTTATTTATTTGTCAGAGAGAGAGGGAGTGCACACAAGCAGAGGGAGTGGCAGAGGCGAGGGGAAAAGCAGACTCCTCACTGAGCAGGGAGCCTGTTGTGGGACTCAAGTCCAGGACCCTCAGATCATGACCTGAGCCGAAGGCAGACACCTAATCGACTGAACCACCCAGGCATCTCAAAACTTGTATCTTTTAAGAAAACAAAATAGTTTTGTACCTCCTGTAACTCTACTTGGCTTTCTTCTATGAAACCTTCCATGACTGAATAATATATTGCTTAAGAGTAAAATGCCTGACATTGTACATACCTGAGTCATCTTTTTCAAAATATATTTAATCCCAATCTCTGTAATACTTAAGACTGAGTTGAAAGATTGGCCATGGTGAGATATATACCTTCATTGTTAATTGTTTGGAAGCATTGCGATAAATATTTGCTCATTAATGTCATTCTTTGTTCCAAAAAATATCCAGATAAAGTTACAAACATATTCTAATTTAAATAAAAAACACATGTGTGCGTGGCCTCAGTCTTTTCTTTCTCCATCACAAATACATATATGGTTCTGGGTGTCCTGCTTTGTCTTTAATGCATCTCTCCTGCCACACTCAAACTGTCCCTGACACCAAATTTAAAAAATGATTTTGATGCATATAGAATCTGACTCACTTGATACATGTAAATAGAGCCAATGAGAGAATTAAAGAGTACCTACCTACTAGGGTCTGGGATGACTGTACTTAATCCTCAAAATAATCCTGTGAAATGACTTCATCCATTTTCATGGTTTAAAGTGTCCGTATGCTGATGACAGCCAAATTTTTATCATCAGTGTAGCTAAGCTCCAGACTCTATATTAGACACAATCTTGGGAGTCTAACAAGTACCTTAAATTATGTCCAAAATGAAAATCTTGATCCTCCCCAGTCTTCTTCATTGTGGTAAATCACAATTATATTCTTCTGGTTGCTTGGTCCAAAAATTTGCAGTCATGCTAGACTCTTTTCCTTCTGTTCCACCCCACATCTAATTAACAATTCCTGACAACAAAACCTTCAAAATACATCTAGAATCTGAGCGCTTCTAATCACTTCCATGCTTGTGCCCTTGCCCAAGACAAGATTTAACTTCTCTGGCTTAGATTAGTCCCATAATCTCTTAATTGCTTTTGCTCAACCAAGAAGTCATGTGTTTGTTTCTCTTATTCAAATTTTATCACTATTCTGCTCAGAATCTTTCAATGATCTTTCATTTGAGAATGATGGGCACCACCCTTATAATGGCCATAGGACCAGTGTTTCCCTGTCAGATCTCAGTTTTTACTACCTTTCTTGTCCGTCCATTCTAGAGACATTAGTCCACTTGCTGTTTCTCAGATCATTAGATGTGTGTCTATGTGAGATATATTTTACATATTTATTTTTGATCTGTCTCCCCAATTGGAATAACACCTTCATGACAGCTGGAATTTTTCTATTGGTTTCCTTGTTGAAACCGTACCAGAGTATGGTTCTGTCACAGAGTAACCATTCAATAAATAATTGTCAAATAAATGAATAAAGTAATGGATGAGAAAATTATTACCACAAATTTTCCATAAAATATGATTGAGAATGAAATGGAGGATGTAATTGGCTCAGTGATAGTTAACTTTGCCAGTTAGTGAGTCAACCATTTCAAGCTGCCAGAGTGGGTGATCTTTTATCTCTGTCACATTTCCTTCCTAAATTTATGAGCCCCATTTACAGCATGAACACTACCAAACAGAAGTAATTTTAGTTGTGATTAGGATATGTACTTCCCAGAAAGTCCAATTTTAGTTGGTACTTTAGTGAGAGAAGTTTTTGGATCACATATTTTATAATAATAGGCTTGATTTTGGCTCACTGATAAATAGTATGTTAAAATTCAGGTAAAGGGCCAACTATCAAAAAGTAATAATAATTAACAACTATACTACAGATATACTTAATAATATTTTTTAATAGTGCCAATTTTGCAATCACCGCATTTGAGCTGTCTTTCTAATAAGGAGCAATGACCTTTGTATTTCACACAGAAAACTTAGGCTTTCACAGTTATTTTCATGAATCAATATATCTCCTCACAAGAGCCTTTGATTTGTCTTTTATTCTTGTAATATATAACCTAATTATTATAAAAAACATTTAAATAAATTTAAATAAATAAATAAATTTAAATAAATTTAAATAAATATTTATATATAAAGTGCGTATACAAAATTTTTAATTTTAAAATTATTTACATTCCTAGCAGACATAATTAAAAGCAAACTCATATTTTAATGTGCAAAATATAACTATATCTTAAGACATTAAAATGCAATGGTTGGATTTCATGGAAAGTTTCAAGTAGTCCCCGCTGGCAATACTTTGCACCTTTGTCATTCCCCTCCTTCTACTTAGGAGAATAGCCTAAAGCAAAGCAGACATTTTGTGATTACAAGGAGAGAATCTTGGGGATTAAGTTCTACAGCTAAAAATGTTAGAATTTAAAAAAAAAAAAAGGAAGGAACTAGGTGCAGTGTTGAGTCAGACATGCTGTTCTAGATGGCGTGCCCCAGACTTCTCATTTATAAAATGGAGTGATGAGAAGATTCAGGAGTTAGACGGTGGTGATGTTTCCGCCAGGCTGTGACTATGCCAAGAAACATTAAATCGTATGCAATAGAGGGGTGGTTTGTATGGTACGTAAATTATGGCCCAATAAAGTTATTCTGGTGGACTGCAGCATTTATGGTGACAGTTGTGAAGTAATTTTGCTGGTCAATCTTATTCAAAGAAAATCCTTAATTATGTGGAAAAAATGTCTTCGACAACCCTCTTTTGTAGTAAGGCAAAATTCATTTAAGTGTATTGGGAAAAGTCATATTTTAAGGATCATTGAAATGCCTTTTTAACTTAGAGCAAGAGCAATTTATTCACTGAGGCAATATTGTATGCCAATAAATAGTATTTACTAGGACTAGGACAGTGCAATTTAACAAGTCTATAATTAATGATGTATGTTAGTGTTGATGAGCCTCATTTTTATCATTTCTACAACAATAAAATGAGACTAGATATTTGGTTCTAAAGTTGCATCTCATGACAAAGAGGGCTTGGAAAAATAATGAACCCTTGTGATGAGTTCTATGAATGTTTCATTGATTGGTGTTAAAGTCATTTTCAGTATTTTATTTAATTTCATTAAAATGAAATTATTTTCTTCAAAGAAAAACAATTTATTCATAATCCTGTTACATCTTTTCCATTGCACAAATTAAAGGTTTATAAATATAGAGAATAGAAATATTTTCATTTAGAGCTTTAAGAAAATTGCTCCTCAGAAAATCTTACTATCTCAATAGAGCAGAGACATAATTAAAAATAAGGGAGTAAAATCTACCTGAAAATACTGCAGGGTATTTGTTATTTTCCAAGAAATTAAAAAAAAAAGACTAAATCCCCAAAAAGAATTTTCCTTCTTGATTTATTTGATTTGACACTTCACTTAAATAACAATTAATTAACTTACTAATTTTAAATAATCATATTCATAAGCACCACAGTAAAATTTACTTAGAAAATCAACACTTTGTCTAAAATACTAAATAAGGAATAAGAAAAGGTATGAAATGCAATGTAACATTTGTCTCTTCAAATAAGAGTGGGGATGTGCTCACGGATTATATTTTCCTTGATCATCCAAGTCAAATACAAACTCTCTCATAGAACAACAAAATGGTCTTAGAACTTTCCCTCATCTACCTTGAAATGCATATAAAAAAGTGATTTCTTCTATGTTACTTGCTAATTTTATCAAGTACTTTGTTATTTTATAGTAACTGTAAAGTTTTAATTTTGAGGTCAATCGTGTACGTATAGCTTTAAAATAAAAACTTACCTCAGGAAAAGAAAAAAATGGTTTCAAGATCTCATACTAACGATTGTCATTATCCTGTGTTTTAAAGTTTTATTTGTTAAGTATCTTGAAAATAGAAACAGTGTCCTAATCCTAGACCTAACGAATGATGTAGACACTTAGAATTTAGGATGAAACAAATTATCTCAAGATTAGTTAGAAAAGACAGAAAATAACTGCCAGTTTTTTATATGTCTTAGACCACTTCCCCCTCCCCCTTCCCCTCACCCCCCACCCCACCGCTTAACTGGTCTATAGTTGTCTATCTATCTATCCATCTGTCTGTCAGATGAAGATAACTCACACAAATACAAGTGTTGTATAGGTACATATCTAGCTATATACCTTGGCTTACTGTACTTCTAAATCACAGGACTGCACTTATATTATTGTTATTATTATTATTTTTACAATTAAAAAATGAGTTATCTTAAAGAAAACATATACTTACTGCCCTCTAGAGGTATGAACCAGTAGTGTAATAAGTGTAGATGTTGCCGGGCATATACAGTTTAAAGCTAACATGGCGTATTTAAACTCTTCTTCACAAACAACGTGATCTGTTTGAAATAGAACAGGTAAATTAGAATAATTTACCTTGGGAGAGTACTAATTTAAAATAATATGAAAAATAAAACAGCAAATAAAATTACAGAAGTTTCCACATAAACACACTTGTCTTCAAGATATTTTTACGTGTGCAATCTTCCCCAGGAAAAATGTCTCATGAGAGTGAGTACTAGATTATGAGTTAAGTGGCCCCTTCTGTCTTTAATAAAATCATCAGCCTTCAGCAAAATGTTTATTTTTCCTATTCTTCATCTGTACAAGGAGGTGAGAGGTAAATAGATAGTTTGAAGGCGCAGTATGGAAAACAATTCAGGGACTTTATAAAGTACCTTTTAATTCTGATAATTCTATGGTATGAAATGCAGTAGTATTGATTTAAAGCATTATTGATTTATCAAATTCATAGTCACATGGCACACATACTTAGAATTATTAAAAGACATGGTAGATAACATTTATATAGTGGTAATAGATTTCGTACAATCAAAACAACTATGACTTCAGGCAATAAAAACTAATGCTAAAATACATTTAAATTAAAATTGTACTTTGACCTCAGGACCTACAGTCATAAATGCAAGAGATGATAGGATTCAATCAGGAAAGATAATAAATGGTAATTGAAGTCACTGACATAAAAGCAAGAGAGTGTGCTAAGGTGGGGACACATGAGAGGTTGCAGGCCACATTAAAGGGAGGTGATGCTACTCAGCCCATGTCTATTACTTCATACAGCAATGAGGGCACAGATACCAGGTATCCAATTTTCCATAGAAGTAATATTTTAGAGAAGTGATTAAGATATTGTTTACTTGGGGGGGTGGACTTTCCTTCCCAAGTAAACAATTACAGTTGGTATGAGAAATAAAGACAATGTGTAAAGTTCTAAGAAAATAAATATTCCCAGAAAATAGTTTTAGCTATGTTAAGAAATAGACGGCTGAATTTGTAGGTGAGTTGGATATCTACAGAATGAATACACAGGGGTCCCTGGGCTGCAGAATCAGTTAAGTACTGCAACTCCGCTCCTCACTTCTCAATGCCATATGATAGCCAAGGTTTATTGAACATACCAATAAAGTCTTCTCTGTCTTTCCCACCTTCTCCACCTCCATTACACTGTCCCTACTTGTTAGAGGGTTCCAATCCTTATCCATAATTCTTAAGAGCCAGATATCAGCTTTTAGAATTATTATTATTATTATTTTAGATTTTAGAAAGGCAATGTGCTTTATCTACCAGACCCTATGTAATACATGTAGGGAGCAACCTATGCTTTAACATAGAATTATTCTTGCAGCTAAATGTGTGAATACTAAGTGGAAAAATAAAATTCAGTGTGAGGATTGCTACCAAATAATTTCAGGTCAGGTGTGATTTCACCACCAACAGAAATGCTTTTCTTTCTTTCTCTCTCCCATTCTTTCTTTTCTTTTTCCCCCTTCCATCCATCCATCCAGCCTTCTTTCCTTCCCTTCCTTCCTCTTTTCCTTCCCTTCCCTTTCCTTTGCCTTTTTTTTTTTTTCCAGAATTTTCTGGATTTTGGAGTTTTGGCTAAGGGACTGTGAATCTTTATTCAAACTATGTTTATCTTTCACCCAGACAAATGCAAGAGCTTCTTAACTACTTTTCATGTCTTCCAACTCTTCAGCATTTTATTACCCTTCCAAAACTGTGCTGTCCAATTAGAGCTGCCACCACCACATTTAGCCATTTAAATTTAAATACATTGAAATACACATAAAAGTTCAGTTCCTCCCTCTTACTAGCCATCTTTTAACAGCCATAAAGTGCTCAAAAACATTTGTGGTAACTGCCTACAGTATCAGACAATGTAGATATGGAATATTTCTGTTATCACCAATAACTAGACAGTGCTATAAGCCAAACAGATTAAAGACCTCCCATAAATTCTAAAGCTTATAGGATATATTTCACATTCCTTAAAATGTCACTCATACACGGGCAGAATTTGGGTAACCTTACTAACATACTATACTACCTTTCCATGACTTTTCTCAGTCACATCGCTGCTAAAATTGCTCATTTATAATAATATGAGGGGAGGCAGAACAGACGGGTATACATGCAGGTTGGGAGGTAGATTGTATAGGTATAAGTTTATGAAAATTCTGTTTTCTTCTTATGGTTCTGTTTTCTTTGTGAAATTGGTGGGAATAACGAGTAAAGGAGAGGCCGGAGGGTAAGAGGAGAAAATACAGCACAGTCGCTTCAGAGAGTGGAAGAAGAAACAGAACAGTGAAACACAGAAATGATATTTGTCAGCTGCTGACCCTGAGAAATCAAGGATCATGAATTTAAAGTGGGAATAGTCTGCACATTATCTTTTGTTTATTTTGTTTATTCAGGCCACATTCAAATTCATGGAAGTAAACACTATCTTCTGTCAAGAAGACCGAGAAAATTCACCACAGTGACTTCTGACAAGTCTAACTAAAGGTCAATTAACTGAGGATGAGTTAAAATAACAGATTATAACGGTGTGCTATGGAATTCAAACAGGTTAAGAAGAGAAGGCAGGATCTGCAGTTGTCAATAATGGTAAAAGTTTGGTAGAATCAATGAATTTTAAGTCCCGGTGTAGTCAAAAGATGGGTGGAGTTCTGTACTAGAGGATGTGAACTGGAATGAGAGGCAGTGGTCAGAAAGAGGGTCATCAGGAACAGAGATTATGGAAGCGTCACATTAACAAGTAAGACATGATTCGTGGCGTGTCCCTCTGGAAGCGGGTGCTGAAATAGGACGGTGAACAAGAACATTCAAAATAGGGGAATTATAGGTACACAAGTCTAGGGCATTGAGAGAATCATTTTCATGGCTATCAATATCATTAACTATTATGGCCATACAGTGTTGGAAAGAATAGTAAACTAGGGGACCAACGGCTCTCTCTCTCTCTCTCTCTCTCTTTTTTTTTTTTTTTTTAATTTCTGCTACTTGTCTTTCTTTTCTGGGATATTTCCCAGTTGCAAACTGCCAATTTTTATCAAATAATTTTTTAATTAAAAATGTGAGATTTGGGGCGCCTGGGGCTCAGTGGGTTAAAGCCTCTGCCTTCAGCTCAGGTAATGATCCCAGGGTCCTGGGATTGAGCCCCACATCGGGCTCTCTGCTCGGCAGGGAGCCTGCTTCCTCCTCTCTCTCTGCCTGCCTCTCTTCCTACTTGTGATCTCTGTCTGTCAAATAAATAAATAAAATCTTTAAAAAAAATGTGAGACAATGTTATATAAAATTTAAGTATATTGAAAATGCATAATGGAGAATTATATCTGTAACAGAAATTGCTATTTTTCCTTATTATCCATTTTCCCCTCTGTATGCAGAAACAACATATCTATGGAAACATGTCTATAGAAATGCTTGGAAGGGAGAAGAATACAAATGTGTGGTTGGCAGGGCCTTGCTGATTTTAGTCAGGTGTACATAAAGAGATGACCCGAGGTAAGAACTGATCACTTTGGAAGCAGAGAGAGAAAGGAATAAAGCTCTCTTAAACAGGGCATTATTTCTTACAGCCAGAAAGCTAAAACAAGTGTCCAAGAAAGAATCTGGACAGTTGCAGAACCAAAAAAGTGACCCATACCCTGAACAGCAGGTGATGATACTTTCTCAGAGTCTTTATGAGAGGCCTTCCACTAAGACTTCTCCCAAACCAATAAAGCCAGGCCTGTGGCAAGAATCAGATTAAAGTGCTGTTTTCCCACTCAAACTTATCTGTTTTAGATGATGGCAAGGTAGCTGTCATTACAATCAAGAAGGAGAAATGAACAGGGCAACAAAAACCAGTAAACACAGCAGGTTTAAGAAAGTCCTTGGAGAAGAACTTGGAGCACAATTACTGACACATGGAAAGGAATGAAAGAACTCTGCTCCAATTTGAACATTTTCTGTGGCCACAGAGACTAGTGAATAAAGAATATCTTTGAATAGACACGAAAAGACAAAGGAGTTACTCCTTAAGAGCAGAATGAGTGTCTAATAAGGAATTTATTACGAGGTCTCTACCATTCATGTCTGACAGGATTTCTTCATTGCTATGGACCAACAACTGCTGTGTGTCTCCAGTTCTTCCTTTTTCTAAACACCGATATTTTACCAAAATTATCTTGTTTCACTATTTTATATGCATAAGTAGTAGGGGTAGAGGTAGCTAACTAATTTATTAGCGTGTGTGTTGCCAGACCGTGAGAAGCCACACCTAAAACTAATTGCATTATCCAGAAGTCCTGGGCTTTGAGTTGGATGCAGTAATTGATACAGCTCTGTGGAGTGTTTTTCATATAAATGGATGAGTCTCTCAATATATAGGGAAAATATTGTACAGGACTACTAAGTGTATAAGGATCTGGACTGTGGCTGAAACTGCTATCACCCATGTTCATTCCTTCCTTCTTCCTTTGAGTAAGAGAAGCTCTTATTTCCTCTTACCCATCCCCCAGCTGTTGCTGGGTGCATGTTTGTCCAGGTAGAAATTACATTTTCCAGCTTCCCTTTAGTTAGCTATGGTCACTTCACTAGGTCCGTCCAGCTACCATCTTATTTTTTTTGTGGACAAAACCACCTTTCCTAAACTCTTTCCTTCTTGTTGGTGAGACCACATAATGGCAAAAACTCCATCTTGATTATGCAGACGTAATTCCTTAGCAATGATAGAATCGGTCCCTTTTTTTCTTTATAGTGTCTAATTTTCCTCCCTTGTTGAAGAAAGCATGTCCTCTTTCAAAATGATGTGCATCTCATGTCTTCTTCTCATCCTTTTACAGTTTCTGTGTATCTGTTTTGATTTAGAACCTTCTTGTTTGTAGCTTCCTGTTAAAGCATGAGCACAGGAGATCAAGTGTTGTCACTACTGAGTGTGCCAAGCCATGGGCAGATACTGATCCCTCTGAGACTAATTTGCCTTACTTTTAAAATGTGAATAGTAACCGTATGTGCCTCATAGGATTTTCTGAGAAGAAAGGTAGACAAT